TCCTTCTTTTTTTTTCCTCTCTCCTTTCCTTCTTTTTTTTTTCCTCTCTCCTTTCCTTCTTTTTTCCTCTCTCCTTTCCTTCTTTTTTTTTTCCTCTCTCTTTTTTTTTTTTTCTTCCTTTTTTCCTGGGGAGGGATGCTCTGTCCCTCTGTCCCCCCCTCCTCCGTCCCCCAGCTCCCAAACGATGCTTCTCGACCTCGTCGGGGAGCTTGAATGGAAGCTGCGGGGGCGAAGCTATATTAAGACACCTAAGGCTTCACCTTTAGAATTCAAGCACAAGGAACAGTAACTGTTGGTTCCTTCAAAGCTCTTCTAGGTCCCCCCCCCGCCTTTTTTTTTTTTTTTTTTTTTTTCTTGAAAATCCTTCTATTGTGCCAATCAAGCAGATGGTTTGCAGGAAATATAGCTTGGCCCCAGTGACCGAAACTAATTTTAACTAGCTTTCCAAGCCTGGCACGTTTGTTTTGCTCTTACAAAATAGCTAAAAAAACAGCTGGCAAGGGTGAATTAAACCCATTAAAGACACATTTATAAGAAATTATATTCACATAGGTTGCTTGAAACCCCCCTAAGAGGGGAGAGATGAGCGTATTGAAATGAAAATGTCCCTGAACACACTACCCTCCTTAACATCGCCTGAGAGTCTCAAAACATTTTACTAAATAGATTAACTTGACTATTGTTTCGCATCACATTTATCAGCTTCATTAAGTGAATAGCTGAACAAATATATTACGCATGCATGAAAAGCTCTTTTGGGGGCTGCCTTATTGTGTCCTCAGCCCTGACAGGTGGTTAACTGTGTTACTCTCTCCTCTCCCCCTCTCTCTCTCTCTGCGCAAAGAAAGAGGGATCTCGGACAGAGCGCACAGCCCAGACTTGGCAAAGGGACCTAGAGGGGAGAGTTACTTTCTTTTCCCTCGCCATTCATGCCGCCCAGCCCCGAGTGCACGCAGCCTGAAACGCGACCAGATGATCTGATCATGTCAAAAGTAATTAACTTTAGTTTAGTCTCTGCGTCTTGCTCGCACTTTACTAACTCCTTCCAAGCCTGTTTAATTTGCATCCTTTCTTCCAAATTTGATTATTTTTGTCCACTTCGTCCTTTTACCCTTTCCCCAACCTCCACCTTTATTTAAAAAAAAAAAAAAAAAGTGAGGTTGAACAATCCCTCTTCTTTCTTCTCCGCTGATCTGTTTAATAAACAATCACACAGCCTCCCTAAATACAACTCCTTTCCTGAGCTAAGATTTGCAGGTTTTGGAGAGCTAGGATATGCAAAATGCTATATGGTGTTTCATTCGCTGCCTTAATTTCATGATTATTTAGCACAGTGGAAACTAGTTGGGAATTGGGCAGCGGCTGTCCGGATTTGCAGATGGTGGAGGCCACGGTCCTGCTTGTTTCAGTTGTGGTCTCTGCCCCAAGAGTTTCCAAGTTAGGTTGCACAGATGAAGCATCGAGGACGACAGAACATATGACGCTTTCCCATTTATTTTCTCTGATACACGTTTCTCTCATTTTACTCAAGTAGGTAAGAAGAATTAAAAATCCTTTCATCTTTCAAATCAGGTCTTAAATCTACTCTTGCCACCTCACTGCAAACCAAAGTGGTGATCCTTTGCTTATGAAGGTGACAAACTTCTCTGCTCAGTGACTCGTGGAAGTCTCTAGGCAGTGGGTGATTTTAAGTGCTAGGGCCTGAGGATCCCATTACTTTTCCACTCGTAAAGCCCCAGTTCTCTTCCCCGTTCTCCAGGCTATGATAGGAAGGACAAGCTTGGTTGGAG